GGAAGAAACCTTTCTACCTTGCCGCTAAACTATTTCGGGTACTGAATCCAGTATAACAACTAACTGATTCATCTTATGTTCCCATTCTCTAATATTTTTATCATAGTGAAGATTTTTTGTGTCCTTACACTTCTGAGTAGCTTTAGCTGCTAACTTCTGCCCCTTTACTAGACTTTGCCTTAAGCTAGTCACATATGCTAACACATTTCGTAACTAGGCTTTGTCTCTGCAGCAAAAGTTCTCAACTCCAACCGATTCTTACACCGAACTTCATAACACTGTGATTCCAGTTTCTTCATCCATAAACTCCGGAATATCAGTAGTAAGCTTGCGTGCTTATAACCTTAAAACTGAGGTTAGATACCAGCAGTGGACACAACGCAGATGACCCATTGTATTGCTACGCACTTAACAACAAACTGCAGCTCAAACAAACAAATATTCAGCCACTTTTGTCATGAAAACAATTGTTGATTTCGAGGTGTGGCTGGAAGCGTATGAGTTTTCGTGAACTTCAAATCATTGTTTTATCTGATTAGCGTTACCAGAAGATGCACATGTGTCAATGCAGGGCCTTTTTTGGTCGGAGAATGGTTTTTGTGGACGTAACATTACTGAAGATTTAGTAGAGTATGATTTCGGAGTCCATTACTGCCCTAAATATTCTTTTGTCCGATTTTTTTCATTTTCCTGAGGAATATTAAAGTTCTCTTCTTTGAAAATATTGTACCCTTTGGTTTTATACTCTAAAAATATCAGTAAGAGCTGTGAAACCTCCAGCCAATAGTCCATTCACGGTGGCGTTCTATTGTCAACTTGTCGGGAATTCGCCGTGAATTATCTATATGCTAATGAGGTGCGTGTGACGCATATGCGAGTTTTGGCGCCGCGGGTGACACGTTTATATATATTGTTGCGTCATCGAGGTCACATGACTAGTGACGCCACGTTTCTAGAACTATCCTGTACCTTGGCGAATGCTCTAGCATTTACTAGATATAGGGTAGTCTGGTATATAAAAGAGGGTGACAAAGTGACGGGATAATAATGTAATGTTTGTGTAGATAGTGAGTAATTGAACTGCAGTCACAGAGTATTGTTGAAGTTAACGTTC